GCGCGTGTAAAGTAGGGGCGAATGGCATTGCTCAGGATAGCGGCAATCTTGGCTGCCCCATCAGGGTCCAGATGAAGAAGACTATTCAGGCTACGAGGGGCTCCCGCCGACTGCACCCAGTCCGCGTTGTGACACCCGCCAGCCACGAGGTCTTCGTTGTTACCTCCGACTGGGCTGAGGAAGAACACTCCAACGCAGACGAGATACGCGCCGGACAACTCTCGGTTGTGCCGGAAACCCAGGCGTCTGATGTCTCGGAGGTCGAGGACACTACTGATGATGTCCCTCCCCGTGACAACAACGGGAGTGGACATGCGGACGGAGTGCCGGGAGTACAGGGGGAGAAACACTCGACGAAGGACGACGACGTCGACAAGGAGAACGCGGCTGCCCCTGCAATCGCGACCGAGAAGACGGCGCGATCTGCGAAATCTCGTCGTGCTGCTAACCCGACCGCGGGGTCTTCTTCAGTACAGCAACCTCACAACACCAGGGGAACTTCAAAGAAGAGGGGACTAACTCAACCTCAGAAACCCAAACAGGCGGGTGGGGTGAAGAAAACCCGTCGGGTGCTTCAAACTCTGAGGATGGCACGACAACACTAACCCTAACCTAAGGCGGAACACTTCTAAGATGCGGTGTCGGCAACGTAATCGAAAGGATGACTGCTGGTGTCTGAGCTTGAGGTCGTTCACGTAGGTTTTCAATCTAGAAGGTTGTTGTTCTCAAGGCAGCCTGCGCGGAAACACGCTGCAACCTGGCGGTTCGTTCGCGATATCAATTGGAGAGGAGCAGGCCCTGGTTTTGTTTATTTCCTTTGTCTTTCTTCACCTGTGGCACAGGTCTCGTCAGAGTTGCCTGTTGGTATCCATCATTGGGTTCGCGAATCTGCTGATCTGTTGAGTTTCTGGAGCTTTCCGAGAAAGTACCATGTGGCGTTTTTTTTCGTATGAATGTAGTTGAAGGTGTGCCTAATGACGCCAACCCTAGTTTGAAGTTTTGAATCCAATGCTCTTGACGGAGAGTCTAGGAGTGTCGACGTTCGGGCGTATTGGGGAAATCTTAATCTTTTATAATATCTTGTCTACTCGGGGGGTAGGGGGGGGGGGGGG